AAAGAAGAAACTGGGGTGGGGCATGGAATACAAGCTTGTCAGGCCTGTCAGCCCAACCATGAAGTGTCTGTTGGCTCTCAGCTTTGGTCATAGCCCCGTCCTCACAACTGTAGGGTATCAGGGATCATTTAGATTGATTAAAAAAAAGGAAGAAAGAAACTGTGAAGCCAGTTCAGGGCCCAGAGTTACCAAGGTCGCTTTCAGCTTCTGACTAAAACCAAGACTTAGAACTGTGGCTTTTGCCGCCCCTGTCCTCAACTGCCTGGTTGATTCCACTGACTGTTCTTATCATATACATTTTTATCTGTGCAGTTAAACTATCAACTTCCTAGAGGATTGTTTTTTTGTGACATATTTCTTTCTTTTGTGACATATTTCTTTGAGTTAGCATAATTCAATACTTAAAAAATATACTTCCTCAGATTCAATTGTGATTTTTTTACCTGTCTTTTAGACATTTTAGAAAGTAGTGGCTAAATTTAATGATTTGAAAATTAGTATGTGCGTTGACATGGTGAATCAAACTGAGCAAGAAGGGATTTTAGAAGATAAACACAAAATTTGATACTTTAGTTTAAAAAGCCAGCCTCACATTGAGAGAATGGTGGAGATTGTGACTAGAATTGAGACAGTCACATATTTTGACACAATTGGAACTGCACATTAGAGTTTGACATTCACAGTTCTTAACATAAATTCTGCACAAAACATATAAGGCACACATATTTTTATGAATACAAAATTTTAATGAGTCAACAAATATGTTGCAAATATATATTACATTTCTATAGGTTGTTTAGATGTTTTTTAAACCTCTTTGGTTTAAAATTTGAAATTTTTTTTAAATCAAAAATGCCATGTGTTTCTCTAGTTTTTTATGTTTCTGCATTAAATTCCTCTTCTTAACTATTTCTTATGATAGTGGAATTGTGGTAAATTTCATGTGTCAGCTTGTCTAGGTCACTGTAGCTAGATAATTGGCCAAATACTGTTGTAGATGCCTCTGGGAATATACCTTTTAAGATGCAACAAACATTTAATCAGTAAACTTCAAATGTAGCAGATTGCTATTCTTAACAGGGATGGGTCTTATCCAACACTTGAAGGTTTAGAGAAAAGCACTGGCCCCTCCAAAAGAAGGCAAGAAGGCATTACACAGGTAGATTGCCTTTGGATGTGCATTTTGTCTTCAGCTTTTAGTTTTCCCCATATCTCAAGGTATTTGAACTTGAACTTCAGCTCTTCCCTATATCTTCAGCGTGCCAGTGTGTCCTGCAGAATTTTTACATGCTATTCTCCAGAGTCACTACTGCCAATGTTTTCAAGTCTTCTTGTGTCTTTCTCTCTCTTTACACACACACACACACACACACACACACACACACACACACACACACACGCAGAGAGAGAGGGGGGGGGTCTCGTCTGTTTCTTTGGAGAAGCTTGACTTGTTATTTCATCATCTGTCCAATCTCTTCTGGCGCCACCACCATCTACCAATGTTCCCATTAACTACTCCATGATTCTATAGTTGTATTAGTGCATGGTGTACGCTTGTCGTTAACCCTCTTGCTAAGTAAGCACCATCCTATGGAAGGGTAATGAATATTTTGACCAAATTAATTGACTCATTAAATCTTGTTTTCACAAAAATATTTTGTACCTTGTGTGTTTTGTGCCAGGATTTGTGTTAAAAACTGTGAATTGCAAATTGTAAAGTACAATTCCAATTACGTCAATGTTTGTGACTGCCTCATTTCTAGTCACAGTCTCCACCATTCTCTTGATGTAAGACTGGCTTCTTAAACTGAAGTATTAAATTTTGTGTTTATCTTCTAAAATTCCTTCTTGCTCAGTCTGATCCACTGTGTTAACTCTCATAATAAAAATAATGTTGTCTTTTTAATGACAATTTTGTCATTGAATGTGTCTGTCTGTATTGGTACACACCTCTTCTACTACTACTTTTAAATCTAAAATTGTGTGAAAGGGTCACAACAGATTCAGCAATAAGCTGTATAATTATCATGGTTTGTGAATGATTGTTTAACACATATCCTCATAACTTGCAAAAATTCTCTTCACATCTATCTTGTCCAGGAAGACATTAACAGAACTCTGCATTAAATGCCTCATTGAGATGCAGATTCACTGTTTATATAATTTAATTAATCTGGCATAATTTATTCCTAGTAAACTTAAGTGGCTCTTGGTGATTGCCTCTTCCTGTTCTAGGTGTTCCTGAGCCTTCTGCCTAATTATAGGTCTTGGGATTTTGCTGAGAATTGATGGGATGCTTCATGATGTATAATTTTCTACATGCATTCTAATTTTACATGAAAATCAGAAAAATTTGACCTCTGTATCATTTTCCATGGCTCTCCCTAGTCTCTGTGATTATCTAGGTACTGTTCATATCAGTATGGTAATTATATGAGGAGCTGCCTGATGGAACACAAAGGCAGAGACAGGACTTTCAGAAATCAACCACATTATTAGTCTACCTGAAGAGAAGGTAGGACGACTACTTCATGGTATCTCTCCTTTCCTCTTCAACTTTTAGCACTATTTATTTGAACAAAATATATCTATATTTTCTCTTCACACAATGGATAATGTCTTTTCAAACATTAGATAATGGCTAATATCAGCAACTCATATGAATTTTTTGTTTCTTTGTTTCAAAAAGAGGCTAGTTTTAGGCTGAAATTTCCTAATCTACATTCAATGATGAAAGGCTTTTGTTTTCCTTGGTTAAAATTTGCATGTCTGGGTTAACCAAAATCACCAGAAGGTGTAATCATATATGTTAACATGGCTTTTCTGTGTTCATTCTTTGGCTACCAATGATCCTTGTGTTTCTATCACATCACTAGCCATAGTAAAGGTGCTGTCCTGGAAAGATATGCCCTGCACTTCCATTGGCTACCTCCTCTCTCTAAGCTGTCCATCTCATCATTTAGATTGCAGAGACACACAATTGTAGCTAGAAGTTTTCCTGGTCTTGCTTGGCAGGCACCAAGGTCTCACAACCATTTATAAAATTCCTGTGTCCTGCATGGTCCTGCAACTCCTCAGACCCAAGTAAACACACAGAGGCTTATATCAATTACAAATTGCATGGCCATGGCCTAAGGCTCAAGTTTCTTGCTAGATAGCTCTTATATCTTAAATTATCCCATTTCTATTAATCTATAAGTTGCCATGTGACTGTGGCTTACCTGTCTGCTGGCATGTTGTTCCTTCGGTGGTGGCTAGCTTCTGCTTTTTCCTCTCCTTTCAAGCCTATGTATATTTTTACACATATTGTAAACCATTTAGAGGTTTATTTCATCTGAATCGCCTTATTGTGAATCTATTGCCTTAAACTGTAGCATTACTAGGACTGAAATGGCAGCTTTGGCTGCTGGCTCTGCCCACCTCAGCTTTCCAACATGGCAGAACTAAGTTTACTACCAGCTCTGGTGGAACCATGGTCACTGCCGACTCTGGACTCTGGGAAGCAGCATGTAGCCCAGAAACCATTTTTTTTTTTGAGCTAGCAAAAGCTATGTCCACCACACACCATGCTACACAGCTTGCAGATGCTGTGTACAGTGGCAGGAATTCACCATGTTGCATACAATTTGTTTTATTACTAGTTAACTAGATAGGCAGGTTTTTTTGTTAAGTCTCCACATCTGGACAAAGGCAAGGTGAGCACATTGACGGATATTTTCACTAATAAAGAACAATCAATATAGAATATCCATTAACTTTATCTCCTTTTATAGCTATTGTCATCTGATCATCTTTTATTTGAAATATTTAAGCACAGAGAAGAAAACACATGAGTACTTATACCCATTTACTTCTTTTGGTGATTGTGGAATGCATAGTCTCAAGTACTACAGTAATTCATGTTACTTTTAACAAATATGCCTTTTATCGCTCATAGATATTTAAATTATCTTTAGTTACATTATTTCTTCTTTTTTGGATCTTTTGTTTCTGGATTTTCTTTAGTTTTTTGAGTTTCAGTTTTCTCCTGGACAACTTTTCTTAACAGCACCTGTTGAACAACCTAGCATCTTATTTTCACATAGAATATGTCAGAGATAAAACGCCTTCCTTGTTTTCTACTATGACAGTTCAGGAAAATATATGTTGTGGTATTACTTTCTTCTATATATATTTTCATTTGGCTTCTGTCTCATCAGGGCCATTTATAATTTTCTTGCCAGATTTTTTTTTCCAGACCTCTGACCCTCTTAGCAGACTGCTGTTTTGAAATTTCTCAGATCTGCTCTCTAAGATTTAGAAATCTCCTTTGTAATGTCTAAGAGACCTGTCAGATTGTGCTGAGTGTTTCCTTTCTTGGCGGTTTCAAGCAGTGCGATGACAAGTTGACTTTCTCCCAAGGTTCCTGTCACATGAATTTCAAAGTTAAATCCAGAAAAGCAGTTTCCCTCCTTGCTGCATCAGTGAGCATGGATATGGCATTTTCAGGAAAAGGAGGCTCCAACCAATGTCTGCTTTCCTGATATCTCAGCTGTAGCCTGCCTATACCTAGTCCACTCTCAAAGCAGAACCATTTATTATATTCACCTGCTTTGTCCTCAGCAGGGTGCGGTTCATCATTCCTTAGACCATGGTTTGAAGATGGAACTTCACAGTCAATGATTAGTCTTTAGGAATTGCAAATTTGGGGTTTTATTTTAATGACAAAAGCAAATAAAATCACATTCTAGACTAGGATTTAAATTCCTGGATTTGCATATGTATTTATGATTCTATACATATTAAGTGATCACAAACATTGACAATATTTAATGTTAATGTGCTGCTATTGGGAGAGAAAATGGATGTTTTAATGCAAAAATGACAATAATGATGTCATAGGTATTGTTTCTGAGTTATTTTACTTGTCATAATTACAGAATTTCTGTTTCATATTGTAAATATGCCATTAGAAGACATTTCTACCAATTTTTCTAAAAAAAGTTTCTTATGTTTTTCAGTACATTAAAGTATTGATTGGACTTCATGGAAAAGACAGCACAACAGTAGTTCAACTGTTGCTGGCTAATGAGTAGCAGACAGAAGAGGTGGGTTCAATACATAAAGGATGCATTCTCACCCAAGGAATGGATAAAGTTGCAGCAGGACTTGAGAAACAGTGGAGAAGAATGGGTTTCTCACACAGTCCCCACAGAAGACCTGAAGTGTGAAAAGAGATCTGACTGAATTGAATTTTAGAAAAATAAATCGTTACACTAAAAGTGTTGAATGTGGCTGACTGTGTTGGCCATTGTTTTAATTTAGACAGTGACTTCAGAGATTTGAATTTCATATCACTGTGAGATTGGGTGAGGTTTTGGCAATTCAAATGGAGTATAAATGATTTTTGCTTTTGTCATTGTGGATTTTTCGTGGCATACTGGGGACATCACTCGAAGCTTGTTACTATTGCTGTGGGACTTCTCACTTCACAATGTAGTACCTTCTACTTGGGGGACAGGTGACTGAAGCAACATCTTGTTGTTTTATCTTTGTCACAGTGGCTTTGATTTAAACTACTGGTGTCTGGGCTGCTAAGGCCTGGGGGGAATTCTGTTCCCTCTGTTGCTGCCCCTAAAGGTAGTTTTAACTAAATCTCTACGGAACTAATAAAACTCGAGGTTCAAAGGCTGGGGTGAAAACCTGCAAGCCTAGAGAGAGTAGCAACTGGCTAACTTTCTCTCTTTGCTGGCAACCTGGAAGCCACTCCCTTCCAAACTTCCCAACTTAAAAAACAAACAAACAAACAAACAAACAAACAAAATACACATACTAAGCTCCTCCCTGCTACTACCTCTCTGAGCCCAGAGTAATTTTACTTAATTAACGTAAATGCAACACATCTTTACATAGTTAACAAATGCAGCATGAACAAATGTAACACATCTTTGCCCGGTTAAACAAATATTCCCCAACAGCATCTTCCCTTTATTTCATTGTTACATGCACAGTTGCTCTGCACTAGGTACTCCTATGTCAAGCTTTGTGGTCTCACTGACAAGGTTAAATTGGAAATATAGCTATCTTAGCAGACAGTTCACTCAAGAAGTACTGGCTGGTTGGAAATGTACTTTCAAAGTAGAATACTTGCTTAGCCCTGGGTTCTACACCCAGCATCAGTTTTAGAGGAGGTGAACAAGAAACAAAACTCCTCAAACAGTTGTCTCCATGGACAATATTCTTTGTCTATGAGTCTATGGGGGAAGGGCAGCCAAGAGGAGAAAGCTCTGAGGTATGTTAGAAGGAAGATGATTCAGAGGAACAGGAAAGCAAAGAGGGAATGAAGTGTCTGTCCCCTCTTATAACAGGACTGATCCTAAAAGAGCCAGGTTTTTTTTCCTGTTTGTTTCATTTTTTTTCCAAGGATCCAGTTTGCTAAGACCTCTGCCCCATATTACCCCACCATCCTATGTTGACTCATGTCTGGCTTCCATCAGATCCTCAGGTAGTACGTCCTGTCTGGTAGCCAATCAGGGTCCTACCTGGCCACAAGCAGGGACTGTTCTTGCTATGTTCAGTCAAACAGACCCCTGACACAGTAGACAGACCCCTGACACTGCAACCACAGATGCTGACGAGATGTCATGAGCCAATCATAAAATGATTCCTGTACCAGTAAGGTTCTATACCCATTCTCTTCAAAGTACATTTAACCATAGCTGGAATTCCCCTAATCTTGCTTAAAAAGAGCCTTTGAGCTTCTCAGGATAACCATTTGCCACTGTGTCAGATGGTTGACCTCTGCATGCTGGAATTTTTTATTAAACACTCTTATTGATTGCATACGTGACTTTTATGGGACTTCTCATAGACCCCAACACTGAAAAGATGATGGGGACAAAAAAAAGGGAATCAACAAATTGAACAAAGAATGCAAATTAATATGAAATTGGGATTAACAGAATAGCCTAAAATAATCCCCAGGTCACAACTTCTTTCATTAAATGAAGATAAACTACATACATATTTGATAGTATTGAATATTCTGTTTTCTTCTAATTACTGGGTGTTTTTAAACAACTGAATATTGCATTATTTTAACACTCAGTATTTAATTTTCAATTAATCTTTGTATTTCAGGCTATAGAAATGCAGGTTAAAAGTTAAAAGTCTGTAAACTTCCAGAGATAAAGTTGAAAGTCCAAACAAAAATCTTTAAAATGAGAGTATAAATATAGTATTGGAAGAGAAGGTTACACTAGAGACCAATCAATTCTGACAAAAAAAGTTTTAAATGTTACTACTTAGCTTTTCAAATTATATCCAATAATATGATAAAGATTATTTTATATATAACATTAGGAAATATGAAAGAATAAAAAGTAGTTAATTTAGAAAAAACAAGGAAAACAAAACATTCATTATAATAAATGTATATGAGATGAGTTTATCAGGACACAATAGAGATTCACAGCCAATATTTAAAAGAATGTGACTACATACTATGTCCAAGAGATATTTGAAAAAATAATGTAAACAAACTAAAGCAAGAAATTATATCAGTAGTAATGTTACCAATTGATATTGACTTATTGTGTGTACATTTACATCAAAGTACTGACTGAAGGTTAAGTGAGAGTGTCTCTGAATGCAGGATTAACAGATCACAACTACAAAACAACCCAAACAGATAATATACAATAAGTACATAAAAATACCTTTAATCTCAGCACTCAGAAGGTAGATGCAGGTGGATCTCTGGGAATTCCAGGCCAGCCTGGTCTACAGAGTGAGTTCCAGGACAATCAGTGCTACACAGAGAAACTTTGTTTTGAAAATGCCGCCCTCCCAAATTGCCTTAATGAAATAACAAAAATCCTATAATATAAAATTATAATAAAAATTTACATTTTTACTGTAAGTGTTTTCTCAAATCCATGGAGAAAAGAATGGTTTTGGAAGAGTTAATTATTAGAAAATATGACTAATCAATAACCATTTTTAATTAATTCACTTATGTTACAAATTAAATTTAGGGTGAATTGATATAAAGCAATGAATTATCTATAGATATATTACATATAGTATTAAACTCAAGGAGTTACATAATAAGGACTTATGATACTAAAAGTCTAAAGTCTTAAGCTGGGCAGTGGCAGCACATGCCTTTAATTCCAGCACTGGGGAGGCAGAGGCAGGCAGATCTTTGTGAGTTTGAGGCCAGCCTGGTCTACAATAGTGAGTTCCAGAACAGCCAGGACTACACTGTGAAACTCTGTTTCAAAAAACCAAAAAGAAAAATAGTCTGTGGTCTTTTTTGACTATCAAGGCTTGTCTAGCTTAACCTGCCATTTTCCTAACATTTTTCTTACTTATGTGAGCAGGAGATATTTTCCCAATGAATAACATTGTGTAAGTGTATCATATAATTAAAATTTTGTTGAAATAATTTTAGTGAATTCTATGGTAGAGGCAAAGATGATGACTAATGACATTATTCATGCTTCTGAGGGAGTGATTAAATGCCCTAAGCCACCATTAACATAGTTAACTATCTGAAAGGATTTTGCCAACAGTGAGTTCCATGAAAGGACATTTTATAAATTCAATTTTCAAAAGTAGTATTATTTCTATTCACCAATAATAGTGATTAGAAAAATTAATAAACATGTCATATTCATGATATTCATGAATCATGCTTCGTAGCAAATCTTTTAGATATGCCTTATGAAAATAAAGAAAATATTCACACAGCAAAATTTTATTTTAGAGTACAAAAAATGCCCCCCAAACAAACAAACAAACCTTATTGAATGAAATAATTTGACTGGCACTATACTTGTAGAATCCTAGTGTGAGCCTTCCAGTCCCAGACCTGCAGTTTGTGAAGATGCTCATCAGAGTAAGGCCAGTATTCCAGAACTTTCTTTAATGTGCAAGGGAAATCTCATCTCATTAAGTTTGAGAAGTATGGTTCTGGTTACTTCCCAAATTATTTTACCTTTCTTGGAGTCAATATTTCAATCATGCAGACCATTTTCTTGGGTATATATACTGCCCAGTAAAATTTGTCACTGATTTATAATATATTTTGAACCAGAATCTTATGCCTTCTGAGTTTTCCATAAGCAATGAGATTTTTTTTCATTTCTCTAAAGAAAAAAAAACACATAACACTGCAGAATAAATTCTGTAAATAGTAGGACTACTCTTGCTCTGTCATTTTTCATTTTAGGAAAGTTAAGTAACAAGATTTACTTGTGAGTTTTATAAAAATTTGAACAGTTATTGTGGGTTAAACAAAAAATGATTATAACATATATTTTAAAGAATAACCACAGCAGAATAATGAAACTGATGAAGAAAGATATACAAACAAAACAGACACATCACTGGCCTAGTAGTCTATGAAATGGAATCTTGTTTAAGCAAACTTAGTACAGTATATAATAATAATATTGTAGGCCACTGAAGCCATATTTGAAAGGACAAAATTTTCAGTGTGTGTTGTCATATCCTACAAGCTGTTTCTCAAAATAGAGGAATCATTTTCTAACACTTGATGGCTTTGTCATGACAATATGATCCATAAGCAAAATGGTTTTCTGTAGTAGCACATCATTGTCTACATATTGGTAAGATTTTCTCATGTGTTCACAGGCTATACCTTTATTTATTTTACAATTGATTGTTTGCTTTATGAAGAGCCTGTGACATAGACACACACACACACACACACACACACACACACACACACACACACACACACACACACAGATTGAGTAGTCTTACTATGTGTGCCTAATATAAGCTTTTTCTGTTTGTTTTTTTGAGACAGAGTTTCTCTGTGTAGCTTTGGAGCCTTAATAAAAGTTTTAATAATCAATGTATGTGTGAAATTTTATACTGACTCTGATGCATATTAGCCTGAATATAAAGTACACAAATGCATACCTCAACCTTACCAACCAATGAGTTTGTCATAAAAACTTGAAATACACATTCTATTATAAAAGTTTTATGACAAATTGATCAACATGGGTACAGAAACTGTCATTCATACTTCAATGTATTAAAATTTTAATGTATATGAAAAATTTTATATGTTTAATTAAACAAGTAATTTAAATATCTCAATCTTCAGTGTCTTCCCAAGTATATTACCCAAGATACCACCTTCCTCATTAGAATTAATGAAGTTATGTATATAAAATGTTGCATGCATATTTTATTCTATTTCTTTTTGTGTCTGCCCATTCCCACTGAACACTTACTTAATGAATAGTTTAATCTGGACTGACCTGTAAAATATGGGATTTTAAGTTTGATTTGAGGAAAAAGGAAGGTATTGAATTCATATGTAGTTTCTTGCATTTTTCAACATATTAATGTATTTGTAAAAACCCAAGGAATGATGGACAAAGGCCAAGATTTCTAATATACCAGCAGTAATATTCCAAACTGAAACAGTGCATTTTTTAAAATTTATTTGTCTGTTTTTTTTGTGAAGCTCTGGCCCCAAATGGCCTAGCTCATCTAGAGAAATACTGAAAATTCAGAAATCATAAATGCTTAATTTACATTTCTGCACACATAATTTAATTCTATTAAAGTAGAGCTCTGTACCATACAACACAGGCACTGCCTGCGGGTACATTTCAGTCCTTTCTAGAGGCTGTTATTATTCTCTCCATCCTACATACTCTCCTCCCACCACAGAAACTCTCTTTCAGCTGACTGCAGTAGTGATTTAACTTATACCAAAATTAGATAATATATTTACCCTTTCATGTACTTTGCTAGGATTCTGAAATTAACTTTCGGTCACTCTAAGTATTTTGAAATGATTTCCTACATAAACCCATACTGGCTAGACAGTTTCCCAAGAGCAGAGAACCTCTCTGCCATGAGCCATCCTCTTTCAAATGCATTGCAGACTTCTTGATATAATGTACGTAGTAAGTTAATATTTTTTTGAATTAAGGTTCATAAGGAAAAGAAAAATGATTTCTACCCAATGTAAAATATAAGAGGAGAAATATATATACATTAAATTATAAATGCAGTTCAACATTTTAGACTTATTACAAATTTAAAGCTATCTAATCTATTATGTTCTTTCCCTTTACTGCAGATATCATGTTCTGAAGAAAAGCTAAGCAATACTTTCAGAAAAACATTGGTATTTAAATGTTTAATGAATGATATTTTTTACTACCAACTTGTGATATCTGGAGTTAAATCATAAAATCTTTTTTGCAATTACAAAGTGATCTTTATATACTTATCATTTACATTTATTTTATATATTGCTTATAAGAGCAACTTGTCACTAAAATATTGAAACAAAATAATGAAATTGATTAATGTATAATTGGAAAAGATGTATTAAACACAATCTCTTTATGATGATGATTTACCATACCATCAAAACTGTGAATGACTGCAGTACCAAGAAAGTTCATTATCAGTTAAGTTCTATTTTATCTATTAACTAGCATGTATATTAGGTAACTGCTCGTAAGTTATAACTTGTTGTTTTCATTGTTCACATCATTTGTTGATATTTGCCAACATTTTAGTTTTAAATACCAATTAGTATATTAATTGTTGAAAGAAAGAAAATACAACAGAAGATTTTCTTCATGACTTTAGAAGCTTGTTGTCTAATTAGGTACTATTCTAGATTGCTTGTTGATGTTGTGGTTGCAACATAACACTTTGACCAAAAACACCCTGGGAAAGAAAGTTTATCTGGGGCTTTCACTTCCCTGGCACAGTTCGTCATTGAGGGAATTCATAGCAGGAACCTGGAGGGAGGAACAGGGAGGAATGCAACTTGCTGACTCTCTCTCTCTCTCTCTGGCACATTCACAGACTCATGCTTAGCTAGCTTTCTTATAGATGCCAGAGCTACTTT